ATCCCCGACACCAGCTCCTACTACCTGACATCCCTGTCCAATGCTGTTCGACACCCACCGCATCCAGCACATACGTGCACAGAACCGTCGCTATAAAACAAGTCCCAACCAGAAAAATTATCAATAACATGTAACAAATCAGCGTATTCACTCCCAGTAAACATCTCCTTACACTGTCACTATGTTGAAATGAACTGTAGTTTAGACCATCCCCATCTAAGTTAATATATGTCTTATTTGTGTCATATGTTACTATATATTATTTGTAACTCGTAACCCATTCCCCAAATATGTAACTGCATATTTTCAGCCTTCTAAAGCTCTTCAATAAACCGTTAATTATTAAAACACACACACACACACACACACACACACACACACACACACACACACACACACACACACACACACACACACACACACACACACACCACACACACACACACACACACACACACACACACACACACACACACACACACACACACACACACACACACACACACACACACACACACACACACACACACACACACACACACACACACACACACACACACACACACACACACACACACACACACACACACACACACACACACACACACACACACACACACACACACACACACACACACACACACACACACACACACACACACACACACACACACACACACACACACACACACACACACACACACACACACACACACAACCTATCAGCACGGGTATTTCCTCCAGGTTAAATAAAGTTAACAGAGTAACCCCTGCAAAAAAAATACCTTGAAATGGTACACTAAATGGAGCTTCGTATGGTTTGGAGTGATGGTGAAAATAGAAGCCAGGGGATGACGTTGATGGTGATTTGATGGTGGTGATGGTGATGCGAAAGTTCACTATAGTTGTGATGCTAATATTCACTGTGGTGGTGGTGATGGTGGTGCGAAAGTTCACTATAGTTGTGATGCTAATATTCACTGTGGTGGTGGTGATGGTGGTGATGCTAATATTCACTGTGGTGATGGTGGTGTTGCTATGTTCACTGTGGTGGTGATGGGTGATGCTGCTAATGTTCACTGTGGTGGTGGCGATGGTGGTGATGCTAATGTTCACTGTGGTGGTGATGGTGGTGATGCTAATGTTCACTGTGGTGGTGATGGTGTTGATGCTATGTTCACTGTGGTGGTGATGGTGATGCTAATGTTCACTTTGGTGGTGATGGTGGTGATGCTAATGTTCACTGTGATGGTGATGTTGTTGATGCTAATGTTCACTGTGGTGATGGTGGTGATCTAATGTTCACTGGTGGTGATGGTGGTGATGCTAATGTCACTGTGGTGATGGTGGTGATGCAATGTTCACTGTGATGGTGATGTGTATGCTAATGTTCACTGTGGTGGTGATGTGGTTGATGCTAATGTTCTGGTGGTGATGGTGTGATTGTTCATGTGGTGGTGGTGGTGTTGCAATGTTCACTGTGGTGGTGATGGTGTTGATGCGAATGTTCACTGTGGTGGTGATGGTGTTGATGCTAATGTTCACTGTGGTGGTGATGGTGGTGGTGATGACGACGATGAACAATCAAACCAAAGTGGAGGTGACAGAGATGAGCATTTGAGATCTTCGGGTAGGAAAAGAGGAGGAGAGGAGAGAGAGAGAAGAGAGGTGTTAGAGTGAGAAATAAAAGAGAGAGAGAGAAACAGGTGTTAGGAGATACACGCAGGTAGACACACGCAATAAACAGATGTTAATAAGGGCATTTTAGCGGGTCCTTAGCCCGATTTCCTGATTGTAGGGACTCCAGGTGAATCTTAGGTGCCTGTAGATGTCTGTAAGTGATGTAGAATATCCCCCCCATCCACCCACCATCAGGCAAATGATTAAAGCTCACCTGGTAGGCTGCGGTCGGCTAGGTGATGAAATGTCACTCCCGTATGGTGCGAGTGATGTGCTGTTTTGTGGTAGTGGTGTGGTTTTGTGGTAGTGGTGTGGTTTTGTGGTAGTGGTGTGGTTTTGTGGTAGTGGTGTGGTTTTGTGGTAGTGGTGTGGTTTTGTAGTGGTGTGGTTTTGTGGTAGTGGTGTGGTTTTGTTAGTGGTGTGGTTTTGTGGTAGTGGTGTGTGGTTTTGTGGTAGTGGTGTGGTTTTAGTGGTAGTTGTGTGGTTTTGTGGTAGTGATGTTTTTTTGTGGTAGTTATGTTTGTGTGTGGCTTTAGTGGTGTGGTAGTGTGTGGATGTGTGTGTGTGTGTGTGGTGGTAGTGCATAAGAGTGATGTAGGAGGTGGTGGCGTGTGGTAGGTGGTGGCAATGGTGCGGTAGTGTGGTAGATTGTGGAGTAGGTGATGGTGGTGGGTGGGAGTGTGGTGATAGTCGTGGTGGTTGACAGTGGTAGTGGAAGACAGATGTGCTAGAAATGAGTGGGCAGGCGGCAGACAGGACAGATGACTCCAGTTAGATACAACAGTCACACAAATCAGTCAAGTCATCAGTTCAGCCACAACCAGTCATCGGAAATTTTCAATTCAACACTATGACCTAACCTAACCTAACCTAACCTAACCTGACATACAGCCTGCTGACCCTGCCTACTTCTTCACCCCTAACCTAACCTTCAACCTAACTCTTCTCCTGACCTGACCTGACCTGACCTAACCTAACCTGTCATCAAAGTGGTGTTCATAATACCACTGTTTGTTAAGTTCCACTACCACCACCACTACTACCATCATTACCACCACCAACTCCACCATCACTACCACCACTACTCTACAATACCCCTACCACCACCACAACTACCCACCACCACCACCACTACAACCACCACCACCCTCATCACAACTCATCAAAAGTTATAATTGAGTAATGTTTCTTCAACACCACCAGATAATGGACCAGCACCTCAGCAGTAGGCAGGTAGAACTAGATAAAGCTTCAAATACAGCTAAACGTGCAGGGCAGCTTAATTGTAAGCTTAACGTACAGTGCAGCTTCATGTACAGTATAACCCAGCAAGTACAGCTACATTAACGTTTGGTACAGCATAACCTATGGGCTTAGTGTAATGTTACAACACACATACAGATACACAAGCACAAGTCAGACACAGTTCAATTACACGTACAGCCAAGACATAGTTCCAAGTACAGAATCACGTACAGTTACACAAACACCCGGACATAAACGTGATGAAACCAGAAGGCAGGAGTCTAGCTTCTAAGTTTTAAGGTTCCAAGCTTACCTGTGGCCCCCGCAAGCTCAGCCAATAACACACTCTCTCTCTCTCTCTCTCTGGCAAAATTATCATTTCTCTGCTGAATGGACGAACCAAATCGGCTTAGCTCGGCCACATTGTTCCCCTCGTTCACCTGCCCACGTGATTACATCTGTATACACACACACACACACCTGTCAATTTCACACCTGTCCTTGAATACACCTGACGTTGAGTACATCTAAACACACCTACACCTGAACATACCTAAACCTGATCCCAAACCTGGTGCCAGTTACCAATTAGTAATTAAACATCTGTACATCTGGTAATTAGCGTCTTTCCACATTCTTACACTTAGTAGCCAAGTCAATTCCCGTATATAGAACTGAACACACAAATGTGCTTGAATACTCCCATGCAAATGTGAATAACATTGTAATTCTGTTATGCACACCCTTTGTGACTTCTTGCCTACAATACCTTTGCGCTATCGCTCACAGGAAGAGTAAGCGGTGCTAAATGAGCAGCTGTACGTGGCAAAATTCTCAATTCAATTCTACAGGTGTGGGATTTATCTGACGCGATGATGATACGCAGGTGTAAGTGCAAAGAGTTAGCTCCTTGAGTACGACGAGTTAATCTTAATCCATTGAGTAAAATAACTTCTTGAATACGATGACTTAATCTCTAAACTACAGTGACTTAACCTCTTGAGTACAATGAATTAACGCCCTGGGTGTGATGGCTTAATATCTTGATTATATAGACTATACCATTTAAGTACGATGGTTTAACCTCTTGAGTACGATAAGTTAACCCTTTGAGTGCTATGACTTAACCTCTTGAGTAAATGACTTAACCCCTTCAGCACAATATCATCGTACACAAGCGGTTAAGTTGTCGTACTCAACTAACATAATCCTCACACTCAAAAGGGGTTAAGACCTAGTACTCAATGAACTCAATTATCGTACTCAAAACATAGGTCATCATATAACAATAACAAGTGCCATGAGATGTACAGGTATAAAAAATTAATTAAATAAGTGCACCTGCATTGTACCTACTGATAGGACGTAGTGAACACGGGGATCTGGACTGAACATATGCGTCTTTACCTGCATTTAAATGTATGTATGCATACTTCATTTTTAGTCCATATAACACACAAACTTTGAACATATAATCAACGACCTCACCAGCCAGGACTCGAACCCTCGACCTACTGCATGGGACCAGGGAACGTTACCACTAACACAAGAGCACTAAAAGTAGTTCTAGACTATGTTATATTTCACACAAAGCCTGTTCATCGAGCTGATGGCGCCGTGAACCTCCCATTAGGAATTGCCCGTGCTGCTTATGTGGATGTCAGTAGCATTTTACCGAATCGGTAAAATACCTGAAACCCCTAGTCCCATGCAGTAGGTCGAGGGTTCGAGTCCGGCTGCGAAGTCGTTGATTGTATGTATGTATGTTCAAGTAGTGTATTTCAGCCAGTTCCAGCAGTATACATGTATTGAGAAAGTATATTATGTGTAATCTCATACATAACATAGTACACAGGATGAGGCAGTGTAGAAGGTATACTTTTGGGTGTTCATGTGACGTGATGGATCATGGGGGAGAGGGTGATTGTACAGTATGGTGGAGTGTAGACCTATTTGAGTCATGCAAACTTACAGTAAGTGCATCCGTATGGCAAGTGTGTGTGTGTTTAGGTGGGTAAGTCATCAATAAGGTATGTTGGCCAGGTTAATTAACAGGTGAATGTAGGTTGACTCAC